AATGTTTGCCACATTAACAGACCTTTTCTATCATGAGAAAAGTGAAAGAGGCCTGAAAAATAGAAGAGTAATTAATTCACTCAATGAGCAACATGCCATTACTTTCTTCAGGGATTCAGTTGGATTAAAGGTCTCTGCTGTGAGGGACCTCATGGAGATCCTTCCTCATAACAGACTTCAGGCAGCTACTGTGCACGTTAGTGACAGGGGTTTAAAATGAGCAAATGAAAATGACCCTCAAGCTCTGAATGAGAACCAAAGGACGTTGTCTATTGGTCAGGAGTGGGACTATCCACAGAGCGTAATAATGGCAATCCCAGGTTTTGTATCACTTGAGATCTAGACAAGCTGTGGATTCAATATTAGGTGTACATGCAGTGTTGGTGTGGAATGTAACTTTAATCAGACAAGGTCTCCCCAGTAGAAAAATCTTCATCTTTCAAGCAACTTCCTTTCTCAGTTCTGGCCCTGTTTTGCACTCAACTGCTCCTACCTCCTTCCTGCTTGTCAACCCTCTTCCTTGTAACAGGGCTGCAGAACCTTGAAGTCCCTGAGCCTTTGTGGAATGGCAAATGGCTATTCAGGGAAGTTGTAGGTACTCAAGCTGGGTCTTTGTCTCCTAATCTTTAAACAAGGGTAGCCAGGAGGAAGACAGTCTTCTTCCAAAAGAGACTGCCAGTGACCTAATGTGACCAAAGGAAACAGCGCTATGTCTCTTAATCGCTGTGTTTCTGAAGTAGGGCTGAGAAGACCCCCATCTTCTTCAGCACAACGTCAAAGAATGTGTCATGGTTCATGTAACCAGATATTGACTCATGGGTAAATATACATGGATACCATGTCATGAACTGTGGAGTTTCTCTCAGCCCTGTTTCAGTCAAAGTGGTTATGACCTACAGAAGTTTCTTTAAGGACTGGAAAAGGCGTTGGATTTCCAATCCTGTAAGGACTGAAAATAGTCCACTCAGAGTGCCTTTCAACTCATCCAGTCTTTGGGGTAAGTGACCACTTCACAGCTCTGTAGACACATGGGAGACAAAGGAAGGGGGGCAGCTACAACCCTGAGAGGAAGCAGTGTGAGTTGGGACCATTCCTGGCCCACATGCAATTTCTGAAGATACCTAAGGTAAGAAGAGTAGACTAGGAACTTGTTTCTTGGCAACTGTTGGAAAATGGCAGTGTTTGCTTAAGGGAAGAGGACTGATGTGACTTACCCAGTGTAGGAACCACTTCTGTACAGGTGCCACATTTCTAAGCATAGATGGAGGTCAATGAATATATCATACATTTATGTCCACTGATACTCTGAACGTAAGATGCAGTTCAAATAGGTGGATGCTCAGTGTCAGACTCTAGCTTATAATCAAAACCAGCAGCACTGGTAAAGTCACTATGACAGTGTGCAACTATTTGCTATGACAAAAGAGATGAGCCACGCAGCAAGTACATGAGCAGTCTCTACTGTGCTTCTCCACAATGAGCAGAGTATACTAATGAAAATCCAGCAGTTCTTCTAAGTATTTTTCCCCTCCTGAATTCCACCCCCCATCCCCCCCATTTTGAAATTCAGTGTGTGCCTGGAAACACCTGAGGCATTTTAATAGTACTTTTCTGCAAATGGAGATAGATGAGACAGGGAAAAAATTAAGTGGAAACCACATAAATGAGGTAGTTGTGAAACAAACTACTCACCTGGGAGATCTGCTGAATACTTTCTTTAGCCTCTCAGTCAAATCTCTGCAGGAGAATGTTTAAAGTTGGTGCAGTTAACTAGGTATTCACAGATAGGACAATTATGGAGATAAGGTGCCAAGCTGCGAGTCAGAAGATTTTGTTGTAAATAACCTCTTACATAGCAGTGGGCAAGTCACTTCACTGCATGGTAGTTTTATCCATCTGTAAAACAGAGATAACATTTACTTTTCTTCATGAAGCAGAACCTAAAGAACAAAAAATGCTGTACAAGCCTAATTCAGATTCTGCTAGCAGGAAT